AACACCCCCCTCACTGCTTAAACAAGTGAGATAGTTTTACCATGGTCGGATCCCAATATAACTGAGGTAAGTATGGCTATGCTAGCTAAAGAGTAGACCGAAACAAAGCCAGTTCGGTTTTCTTCGATTCACTACTGTGTTACTCCGGCTTCTGCTCTAAAACACATGGTATGTTTAGACGAGCCTAAGAAATAGCAAGGTTTTGACCGAACTAACCGCAACATGCCACGATCGGGCTAACTCTGGTGTGGTAACCGGGTCTGTCTATAACACTCTCTTGGCTGGGATAACAACAAGGCCTTTTGGGGACTGGGCTAAAACGCCAAGCCATTTTTCTCACCCTTCTTACTGTAGCTCACGACGGCCCATTACCAACTCAGCCAAATTTATAAATATAAATTACTCTCTCAGTTAACTAGCTACATCATATTGATATATTGAATGATCACATAAGGTCCATTACAAAATATTTCTAACAAAACATTACAAAAGCTTGAAACTCTACCAATTCCCATTACATTTTCAAAAGCAACCATTAAGGAAATCAAACATAACACAACATTCATGATCATTACAATCTTCGTAAACCCATGTTTGCTTCAAGTACTTGCATACTTGATTGCATAGCCTTATCTGGTCATTAAATTCATTGTAGTAGTATCTTCTTCATAGGGTAAAGTGTGTCTTATTAACATAGTTTTAGTGTTTTCCATCATCATTTTCTCCTCCAATATAATGAGTTTACCTAGTTTGACCATCAGAAAGAGCATTTCCTATGTGGGCATAAATAATACAATTTACCTTTATTTTTCTATGATCAGTGACTTTAATTACTTCTTTGCTCGCACAATAACAAATCTTACTCCTATATTTCATCACCCCTCCTTCATTACTTGATGATGAATACTCAATATGATCCTATATTTCAGAAATGTGAGAGTTATAAGGCATTTTTAGAACATATTTGCATTATTGGTAACCAATTCTGGACTATTGTTGTGCCTTATTTGTGGACTGTGATTGAACTGTGGTTGTGCTTTATTCAAGACTGTGGTTGTGCTTTTATTTGTGTTGGACTTGGTTTTGATTTCATTTTTTTATGGAAATGGTTGGTTGTGCTATGTCAATTTTTTTTTTTTAACACTTATAGTAATTGTACATACCCTATTGTTCTTGGTTATGGAGTTCTGTCTTATGCTTCATTCATTTCACTTCTAGCTACTTTTTTTTTATTTTTCTCTTAGCTTGGAATTTCTAAGTTGTGTGCATTGTGAAGCTATGTGTTGTGCTTGGTATATATAGCTGAGAGTTGTATGTACTGTGAAGCTGTGTGTTGTGCTTGGTAATATATAGTAGAGTTCAATAGCCCTGAGGGCATTATAGGTATTTTCAGATTATCTTTGATAACATCAGTATGTTCTAAGGTTAAAAAATGGGAGAATCTTGACAATTTCAGTTAAAGTAGAAGAGATTTGTGTAATTATTCAAACCACAGGGGAGATCTTCTGTATTTGTCAGAAACGTCAGGGGAGGTGAGTGTAATTTACCCTATTATTTTATATGTATAAATATATATTTGGGTAAATTACACTTACCTCCCCTGAGGTTTCTGACAAATGCAGAGACATTCCCTGCGTTTCAATAATTACAGAAACCTTCCATGCTTTAACTGACATTATCAAGATTCCTCTAATCCGTGACAACCGTTACAAAACCTAACAGAAAGTGCTGATGTCACCACTCGCCACACCACCCACTCTGCCACCGGCCGCCATTGCCACACCCACCACCTACCCGTCATCCATCTGCCACCACACTGCCCACCTCCACCACTACCATCTACCGCCCACCACCTACTTGCCACTACCACTCACTACTCACCTGCCACCTACATCCCACCTGCCACCATCACCACCACACCCACTCGTTACTACCACCCACGCTATCGTCGACCCACCACACCACCCACCACCGCCACCACCCGCTAACCTACCCACACACCCACCACTACCCGCCATCCGCCCCTACCTCCACCACCCCCACCACCCGCCACCCTACCACCACCACCACTCACTACCACCTACCACCCGCCACGTTACCCACCCACCACCCTCCATCTACCCGCACCACCACCCAACGCCCACCCCCACCGTGCCTGCCCACCACACCCACCACCCCCCCACCACCACCCACTACTCGCTACCACCCACCATCCACGCCACCCACCGTCACCACTTTCCACCACCGTCTTCCACCGCCACTTGCCACCACTTGTCATTTCTCACTCTTTTTTATTTTTAAATTTTTTTTAAACATTTTGTCAATTACCAAACGCGTTTGTAGTTTACGTTTTTCTAAAAATAAATAAAAAATAAACAAAAACCAATTTATAAAACTTTTGTAAATATAAACTGAAAACGTAAACGTTACCAAACACACCCTACTTTTTAACAAAAATCAATATCACTCTTAGGCCAAGTTTGGCAAGTTGTCAAAAAGTTACTCAAAAAGTTAAAAAGTTATCACTATTCACCATAAGTCAAAAATTACAGCTGCACAACTCTCGATCTTAATTTTTTCCTACACACTAATTTATACAATTTTTTAATACACATTTTTTCATAAAAAGTCAAAAAGTTAATCCAAACATCCATATTTTTTTCCTCAATTTTAGTCCAAAAAGACAAAAAATGCACTTACTTAGGACACCCTAAACAATCCCTTATTATCAATATCATTTATGTAGTGGTGAGCATGGTCCGGATTGGACCGAATTAGGGTAAAATCAGGACCAATTCGTTATCTACGGTTCCTGAAAAATTGAAACCAATCCAATCTGTTTAAATCGTGGAACCAATCCGAACCAATCCATTTAAACACGGATTGGATCGGTTTAGGACCACGGATTTACATAATTAAATAACAAAAAAATATATATAACACTTTAATTTCATAAAAATATAATTATAGCACCATATTAGTTTCACAATAACAACATGTCTTTTCATAATAGCGACATACTGTTCTAGAATTTAAACAACTATAAGAAAACTGGTTCAACCATAAGAAAACCGATTCCAACATAAGTATTTAGACCATTACAAATTAATATTAAAAACTAGCAAACAAAAATAATAAGAGAAGATACTATGTGAGTTTAGCTTTGGATTTAAGTTTTATATAAAATAAGAGAAGATACTATGCAGGAATGTGTATAATAAAAATATAGACTATTTGTATAAGGTCTGGATCAGTTCCAATCCGAAACTGTGGGGTTCAATCCAAAATCAATCCGTGAATTACGAATTTTTAATTTTTCAATCCGAAATTAAACTACGAATTTAAAAAATTAATCCAAATTTATTAAATTGAACTGAACTTGATCAAATTACGAATTTTACGAATGTTTTTGCTCAGCCCTACACTTATGCTGTGGGTAGCCTGAAGTGAATAACGCCCTCCCATCATTAAAATATCAAGTTGGGAATTGAAAAATGTACCAAACCCCACAGCATCATTTTTTCTAAATTTGAGACCACATCTAATTTCTAATCAAGATAATGAAGACCACGCTCTACCATGGGGTGTCGAATATACGCACCAATAACGTCCAAGTGAGTAAATTGGTTCCCGCTAACAAAAGCAAAGATACGAACAGGTGAAGCGCGTAGAGTCAACGATCACATGCACTGTCGTGGTGTATATTGGAGTTAGGAATACTGCTTTGAGCTTGATTACAGCAGGTTGCTGTGGTCGGACATTTTCCTGAGTATTTTTTAACACTTTGAATAGTAAGACTTGTCGAGTTTTTAGTTTATGTACAAAAATTGAATTAATTAAAAATTTGTAACTCTAGAAATCGATTCGAATTGTTCTAAAAAAGTAATTATATTTTATTTTTTAAAAAATAAATGTATTCTATTCTAAAGTTATAGATATTTAATTAATTTAATTTTTTATATAAATAATTTAGCTATCAAACTTTACAACATGAATAATTTAAATTATCAAAAAATATTTGAAAAAGTGCCACTAGATCTACAGGATCCTGCATAGTAGTACTGCTTCTTCTAATATTTTATTTTTATTTTTATCTCTAATAAAATAGAAGAGAGAGATGATGAGAAGTGAAAGAGTAACGTTTATTTTATATAATTAGGAAGCATTTTTCGGATATTGAAGTATCCCCAATTCCGGTGTAGATAACGCTATCGGAGACCGTTGGATTAAAAGATGCGTTTTGTCAACTTCGAGGCTGTTCGTGTCAAAACCTAGACTCAATCACTCTCTCTCTCTCTCTCTCTCTCTCTATTCTTCAATTCCATACTCCATTGTTTTACACCACACGCCATATAGCCCAAGACCTGTCATGCACGCCTCATCCAATTCTCAATCTTATATTATTACTACTAAATTAGAGAGATTTAGATTACATCACCATCCATATCACAATATTAACATGCATATTCTTCCATCTTTAGAGAGAGAAAGTGGAAAGAAAGAGAAAAAAAAAATGAGTCAACAAGATGGAGAAGCAATTCCAGCCGACCATCTGTTCAAAATCGATTTTGTACATGATCATTGATTTGTACTACAACGTTTTAAATCGATTTTTGTGTGTACTACCTTTGTTTTGTAGTACAACACAGAATAGTATTCCCATTCTTTTAACATGTTGAGTTTGTTTACATTCATCACCTATAAATTTACTTACTCTCCTTTGCTAATTTACGCACTGAATAATCCCAATTTTGAGAATTTAGTGATTTGATTGAAATACAAAAAGTAATGGGCTTTTGGGTTTAATTTCTTTTTTTTTTTTTCTTTTTTTTCCCTGGAGAGTCTCTGTTTATGTAAATGCAAAGGAAGCCAGAGACCCATCTGGTGGTTCGGTGTCGGTGATGATATAACTCTTTTGGCGACCTTTTCTGGTTTTTTTTTTTTTTTCTAAAGATTTCTCAACACATACATTAATTTCGAGAATTACCCAGGTGAGAAATCACTCATGTTTACTCTGTTTCACTTCTTCAAATTCATTATGAGTATATATATATTTTGTTCATGATTGAATTAGAAAAAGGTCAAGACTTTGATCATTCAAATGGGGAACATGGGTGTGGAAGAGTCGAGCCAAATTCAGAGAGAAGAGGTGGCAAATGAGGCGGTGCCAGAGGAAGACGTAAAGAGAACTCCGCCGTGGAGAAAACAGATCACAATCAGAGGAATTATAGCAAGCTTACTGATTGGGATCATTTACAGTGTGATAGTAACGAAGCTCAATCTCACAACAGGACTCGTTCCTAATCTCAACGTCTCGGCAGCTCTTCTTGCCTTTGTGTTCATCAGAACATGGACGAAGCTGCTTCAAAAGGCCGGGATTGTCTCAACTCCGTTCACTCGACAAGAGAATACCATAATTCAGACATGTGCAGTGGCATGTTACAGCATTGCTGTTGGAGGTTCGACATTGAAACTTTTTAGATTGATTGATTGTTCATTTCAATATATGAAATTTGCTAAGTTTTTATCTTTTGGGGATTTGTAGGTGGCTTTGGGTCATACCTGTTGGGATTGAACAAGAAAACATATGAGCAGGCAGGGGTTGATACGGAGGGGAATCCACCAGGGAGCTATAAGGAACCTGGGGTTGGTTGGATGACTGGTTTCCTCTTTGTAGTTAGCTTTGTTGGGCTGTTGGCTCTTGTTCCTCTCCGGAAGGTTAGTTTTTTTGCTTCCATTTTATGTTCTTGTTTGTTACGCAGTTAGATTAATCATTACATTTGCGCAATTTGAAGTAGTTAAATGTAAAAATAATATAATATTTTAAATATAGAAAAAATCATAATAATTAAAAAAAAAAAGATTAATTGTCAAATTGATGTTCTGCAAATTCATTGAAGTTTATTTGGTTGATTTGAGTGAACCTGTGTGTCGTAATGACTTCAAGCTCCGGAAGCAGATAAGAATCTATATTCCAAAAAAAGTCATGGCCACAATCACACCATTTTTGTTTAAAAAAAAATATATATATATATTTACACACAAGTCTTAATTTATGAATTTATATTCCATTAAGTTCTAATTAAAAATTTTAAAATTTTTAAGTCTCATTTAATAGTCGAAATTACTTTTTAAACAATAATAGTTTATCATTTATGATTATCTATAAAAGAAAATGCTGATTTAACATTTATTTTGATTTTCAAAACTTTAAAATATTAACTTGTGCAAAGTTTTTTTTTCTTTGAAAAAAGTTAAAGAACTGAATTATTTCTTTTGTGCAAAAATGAAAATTTTTGTGTCTATAAAAGGAGTATTATGATGAAACATTAAAAAGGAAAAAAAAAAAAAAAAGCTCTTTAGAAATGAAAAAACTGGTAATGTTTAAAATTTTAAAATTGAAAAAAATTGATAATATTTTCAGTTTTATTTTATAGTTGAATCAAACCAATAAGTAAAAGAGTAAAAACGTGTAATCTCATGCTTTGCTTTTTTTCTCCTCAGTTAGTGAAACAATTATTTGAAATATTACCATGTAAAATTGATAATATTTTTAGTTTTAAAAATAAAAGAAATTGATAATATTTTTAATTTTACTAAATAAGATTTATTGATTTAAAAAAAAAATTTAAAAATTATTACACTTATAAATAAGATTTTTAAATAATTAATTCAAAAAAGAATTGATGAGACAGACGTGACACGGACGTTTTGGGAAGAAAAAAAATCCCAAACCAAGGTGCAAACAGTTCGGTTAAATTAAAATTGTTATAATATTGAATTAAACTCTTTAATTTTTTTAAAAATGAGGGAGACCTCTAAAATTAGAGCTTGAAAAGGATATTAATTTGTTCTTTTCTCTCTCCTATTTTGTCTTTTACCTCCCTCAACAATGATTCATCTCACTAAAAATATCACCATTAATAGCACTAATGCATTAAAAAAGTAAAAAAAAAAAAAATATACAACTCCAAGACCAAAACATCACATCATTAATGGCGGGACCCACTGCCACCTAATTAGTGGGAGTACTAATTAGTGCTCCCAAGCATTTTTCTTACATCCCTCTATTTTTTTTATTTTTTTTTTAAGGTGACAGCAGCTCTAATTAGAGCTGCTTTGTAGCATAGTCCTAATTTTTTATAGGAAAAATGCTTGTGAATACTAATTAGTGCTCCCACTAATTAGGTGGCAGTGGGTCCCGCCATTAATGTTGTGATGTTTTGGTCTTAGAGTTGTATTTTTTTTTTTAATTTTTTTAATATATTAATATTATTAGTGGTGATGTTTTTAGTAGAATGAATCATTATTGTTTTTTTTTATAGTTGTGAAACCGAAACTGTTTGCATAGTAGCGTTTGATTTTGTCAATTTAACTATTTAGTAAATTGACAGATAGCTAATAGCTATAGTCCTTAAAGTTTAACATTTTTTTTTCATTTAAGTTTTTAAAATTTTAATTTTATCAATTAAGTCTCTAAAGTATTAATTTTAATTTTTTTCATTTAAGGCCCGAATTTTAATTTATTATTAGTTTAATTATTCTCCACATGTGTATTTTTAGACTTGATATATTTTTTCTAGATTGACTAATCCTTATTACTTATATAGGTCTTTCTCTATTTCTATTTTACTATTATTTGTTTCTTCTAATACGCAATTATCCATCTTAACTAATTTTTCGACTATTTTTAATATTATTTTATATTTAATTTTATTATTTCCATTATTTATAATTATTTTAGACTATAATTATTAAGAAACATTTTTGTTTTACTAGTAGTATTAATTCAAAAGATTCACTTGGAGAATTCCCTATCAGGATAAGGATAATTATCTATATTATTTTATTGCTAATTTTCTACAACAGTTAACTACTTACCTTTATCTAATAATAGATGTCGAATTTCGTGTATAATTTCAAGTTGATTTTCCTTTATATTTTCATTAATGCACCGTTTGGGAAGAAGGTTTTTAGGTTTTTTTTGGCTATTTTAGTCACAAAAAAACAAAATAGGCTATTTTAGCCAAAACAAACAAAACATCACATCCAACCCAGCCCCCATAATCATTACACTATTCTCTCACAAAAAAAGTCAAAAAACCCTTCCCAAACCAAGCTTTTTAGCTCAGGCTAAAATAATTAAAAAAACTAAAAAGTCAAAAAGTCAACTCACTTTCCAAAACGGAGGCTAAGTTTTTTTAAGAATATGATTATAATATTATTTTGTTCAATAATTATTTAGCGGACAGTATTTTCATTTAAATTATTATATTCAACTTTTTGATTGTATATAATACTTATATATTAATATTAGCCAAATTGAAAAATCATACTCTGATTCCAATTCTAAAATATATGCACCGAGGATAATTAAATAAATAATTTGGGCCTTATAACAATTATATAAAATCTTTGGACTTATATTTTATTTTTCTATTGTATTTAGAAATAAATTGATTCAAATGTAATACTTTAAGAATTTAATTGGCAAAATTAAAACTTTAAAAACTTAAATAAAAAGTGTTAAACTTTAGGAATTATATTGATAATTTATCCAAAACGTCAAATGAATGAAGAGAAATCAATCTTACAACACATTTTGGTCTCCTTACACTCATTTACTTATTACAATCAATTAAAATTTCACTTTTTCTCTTTACACTTTTTAATATATCATTTTTGTCCCATTTTCAACCGCACCTTCTCTCCTTACGCATCCATTTTCATCTCTCTCTCTCTCTCTCTCTCTTCTCCACTTTTCTCTTGTTCTTTCTGCCATTGCCGCTGTCGGCCGCAGCCGTCACCACCTCCGACAGCCACACCCTAACTCTTTATCCGTCTCGGACCACCATCCGTGCAACCTTTGACTGCCGCATCCACCACTTCTACTGTCGCGATCTCCTCTCTTTATTTTTTTCTTTCTTTTTTCTTCTTCTCTCCTTGTTGTCGAGATCTCTCTATCGGTGCCGCCATCGTAGCCCCCTACGACAGCCGATCTACAAACATCGCAACCTTACGATCATTGACCCATCTTCATCGCAGCCCTTACCTCTGCAAGCCATTGCAATCGCAACCCATCCACATCATCATCACCATCATCACTGTCGCAGCCTACCACCGTCGCGGCCCCCTCACCATCTGTGATTTCACAACCTCCCACCTCATAATCGCCATCACTACCGTCGCAGCCCACCACCATAGCGGCCCTTCAACCTCTGCGATTTCTTCTTTCAAATCTATGGTTTTGTAGATGATGAAGAAGAAGAAGAAGAAGAAAAAAAAATAAAAAATAAGAGGAGAGGAGAGGAAGTCAAAGGAAGAAAGAGTTGATGGGAAGAGAAGGGGAGGCTGGGGGTGTCGGAAAGAGCTGGTGAGAAGAGAAGGACTGATGGTGGCGGCCGACGGTGGATAATGCTCCCGTGGAGATGGAAGGGATGGTTGGAAAGAGAAAATTAGGGTTTTAATTTGTTAGATTTGAGTGCATTTTGGTAATTTTAAGTAGGGATAAAAACATATAATAATGCTTGGGACCCCTTTTTGGGGGTCACCCCCTCTCCGTTTTGTCACGTGGCCGGTGGTGATTGGAGGAGCAGGAAAAAAAGAAAAAAGAAAGAAAATATAACCAATGAGAAAGAGAGGGAGTCAAAGGGGGTGGGGAAAAAAGGGAGATGAATCATTGTTGAAAAACATAATGAAAAAAAAGTAAAAATTGCAGGGTGTAATGAGTTGATTTGGGAAAAGTTAGAGATCATGAAAATTTTGTCATGAAAATGATCATGAAAAATTTATGATTCTTGGATTACCTTGATTAGTGTGTGGTGTTTCATTCTAAATGTAATCTAAGGGTCACGAAACTTTCATGATTATTTTCATGAAAAGTTTTTCATGATACCTAGCATTGCTGAGTTGATTTTGTTGTTTAAGTGGAATTACCCTTAAATGAAGAGAGATGTATGATTGAGAAAATGACCAATAACTTCTATTTTCTTCTTAAAATTACTATTAGGTTTTATCAAATTTTTACATGAACAGTAAGGTCAAGTTTGGGATATGTAAAAAAAATCAAAAAATTAAAAAATTATTTAAAAAGTTAAAAAGTTATTCTTATTTATCAAAAGTCAAAAATTACAGTTGCACAACTTTCAATCTTAATTTTTTTTACACACTAATTTATATAATTTTTTAATATATATTTTTTCATAAAAAGTCAAAAAGTTAACCCAAATATTTATATTTTTTCTCTCAATTTTTTAGTCTAAAAAGACAAAAAATACACTTATTTATGACACCATAAACAACTCCTAAATCTTACTTTTTATAAAATGTCTTTAGAAAGTTTATTGTTTTATAGTGGTGTATGTTATTTCAATTACCCCTTATTTAGGGATTGTTTGGGATGTTCTAAATAAGTGTTTTTTTTGTCTTTTTAAATTAAAAAGTTGAGGTTGAAAATATGAATGTTTGGGTTAAATTTTTGACTTCTTATAGAAAAATGTGTATTAAAAAATTATACAAATAAATGTGTAAGGGAAAATTAGTATTGGGAGTTGTGCAGCCGTAATTGTTGACTTTTGGTGAATAGTGATAACTTTTTAACTTTTTGAATAACTTTTTGACTTTTTTACTTTTTTGAGACTTCCCAAACTTGACCTTAATACGAAGAATAATTTTATAAATATTTTTAATTCAATAAAATTATATTTTTTAATTATAAAATATATGATATTACAATAAAAAAAGTCATAACCACAAGGAAAAAAATTATCAATAAGTTCTATTTTGTTTTAAAAATTACTATTGAGTTAATATTAATATTAACAAACAAGTCTATTTTTATTTTATTTTATAAATTGTTAAAAAAAAATCAACTATTCATAATAGTGTGTTTTATTTAAAATTGTATAGTAAAAATATTTTTAATTGTTGAAATTAAATGAATTTTCGTAAACAAAATTTATAAGCATAAGATTCATCCACTATCTCATACATTGTGAAGTATATAAAATTTTCAAAATAATATTTTTGGTAGCACTTTTTAATTTTAATAGAATTTAGACTTTTTAAATTGTTTACGCTACAAAAAATCATAACTTAAAATAACATAAAATGATGCATTTTATATATTTTTTAATCCAATTGTTACTTATGATTTTTAAACATAATATAAATGTTTAAAATTAAAATTATTTGTTAAAATTATTTATAAAATTTCTGTTCATATTAAATGAGAAGGGTAAAATTAGGATAAAATACACTACTATGGAGTAATGAATTTTTTTGGAACGTTTTATCACAAATAAGATTTAGCTATTCATATCAAAACTTGATAAATTCAATAGCAATCTTAAGAGCAAAATCAGGCTTATTAGTTATTTTTCCTATAAAATATGTAACATTAATGATTTATCTTGTAATACTAACAACAATGATTGAGACCCTCATTTTTTTGGAGACCTTCACAATCCCTTTTGGATCTCCACTGTTGATGGTGTGGGCTCCACACATGCATGAGTGGGTCCCACACATATATCAATGGTAAAAATTCAAAGAGAGTTATGGGGTCTCCAAAAAATGAAAATCCCATGTATTTTTCTAATATTAATTTAATATTTTGATAAACTCAATCGGTGTAAAATTTTTAAAGTAGAAACCAACTTTACCATATGAAAAACGGGCCAAAAATCAAAATTTCAGTCAACCTCAAATGATCGGTTTAGTTTCCTCGATTTTTCGAACAACACTAATCCCAACCTAGAAGAAAGGGTTTTCATTTCAGACACTTGTTATGGTTTGTTAACTCATGCACATCGTTGTTTGCAGATCATGATAATAGACTACAAACTAACTTACCCTAGTGGAACTGCTACTGCAGTTCTTATCAACGGGTTTCATACAAATAAAGGAGACATGATGGCCAAGTACGTATGCATCATCTTCTTCTCTCATAAACTTTTCGCTTATCAATTACTTGCAAATCTGGACGCAATTCAACTCCTAACTCTTTTTCCAGGAAACAGGTTCATGGGTTCATGAAGTTCTTTTCTATTAGTTTTCTATGGGGTTTCTTTCAATGGTTCTATTCTGGTGGTCCACAATGTGGATTCTCTAACTTCCCTACATTTGGGTTGCAAGCTTGGAGGCAATCGTAAGTACTTAACATTTGTTTTTCAAATTTTTTAGACTTCGGGTTTTTGATCTAAAGATCATCATTCAACCATCCGTAATATATAAGTAATCAAATTTTTGCAGATTTTACTTCGATTTCAGTATGACTTACATTGGAGCAGAGGAATGATCTGTTCCCATCTTGTGAACTTGTCGTTGCTTCTTGGAGCTGTGCTCTCTTGGGGGATGATGTGGCCGCTGATAAGTTTGCAAAACTGGTACCCCAAAACTTTGCCAGAAAGCAGCATGAAGAGCCTTAATGGTTACAAGGTCTGCAGATGAAATATCTAACTTTCATTTCCATAATCTACAACTTCAAATCTAAATCTAAAATATAACACTTTTAACAATTGCCCCTTGCTTGTCTGTGTTCCAGGTTTTCATTTCTATCGCTCTCATCTTAGGAGATGGACTCTACAATTTTCTCAAGATACTATTTTTTATCTGCCAAAGCATATATGATAGATTGAAGAAAACAAGACCCACAACATGTAAATTAGCAAATCTACTATATATGTCGCCTTTGTTTCTCTAGCTTACATCGTAGAAAAATTCTATACTAACCTAAGTGATTTTTTTTCCCCAGGTGCAGGTTCAGATGGCATGAATCAACCCCTAGATGATCTTCAACGAAATGAAGTATTTGTAAGAGAGAGCATTCCCTTGTGGGTAGCCTGTATTGGCTACTTGTTTTTCTCCATTATCTCCATCATTGTGATCCCACTCATGTTTCCTGAGCTTAAGTGGTATTATGTCCTTGTTGCGTATGTAATTGCACCATCCCTTAGCTTCTGCAACGCTTATGGTGCTGGCCTAACTGATATGAATATGGCCTACAATTATGGAAAAGTGGCTCTCTTTGTGCTTGCCGCCTTGTCTGGGAAGGATCACGGTGTAGTTGCCGGACTTGTTGGATGTGGTCTGATCAAATCGATTGTTTCCATTTCCTCTGATTTGATGCATGATTTCAAGACTGGCCATCTCACCTTCACTTCTCCTCGATCAATGCTTCTTAGCCAAGCCATTGGTACAGCCATAGGTTGTGTCGTTTCTCCTCTTACATTCTTTCTCTTCTACAAGGCTTTTGATGTTGGAAACCCAAATGGCGAATACAAAGCACCTTACGCAATCATATATAGAAACATGGCAATACTGGGCGTCGAAGGTTTCTCTGCCTTGCCCCACCATTGCATGCAACTTTGTTGTGGGTTTTTTGCCTTTGCCATAGTTGCCAACTTGGTAAGAGATTTTTCTCCTAAGAAATTTGGAAAATGGGTTCCACTTCCAATGGCTATGGCCGTGCCTTTCCTAGTTGGGGCTTACTTTGCAATTGATATGTGTGTGGGCAGTTTAATTGTATTCGTGTGGCACAGGCTCAATAACGAGAAGGCTGGTTTGATGGTTCCTGCAATTGCATCAGGCCTGATTTGTGGAGATGGGTTGTGGATTCTCCCATCATCAATCCTTGCTCTGGCCAAGATTCATCCTCCAATCTGCATGAGATTCTCTGCTACAAAGAGCATCTGAGAAATAAGAAAAAAGGTTTAGAGTTCGAATAGGACGACAATGAAGAAATTGTATTAGGGTCAAGAAGAATAAGTAGTAACAGGAGTAATCAATTATGTATATGCAGTTTTGGTAGAGTCTAGACATGATAGAGATGCCCTGACTCCAAGTAGAAGATAATATATCCAAGAGGGTTTGTCATGATTTTGTGTATCCATAGCTTAAAGTCTTCAACATAGCACAATGCTCATTAGAGTAATGCTATATATATAATAATAAAAAATCATACATAAAATATAAATTTACCGTGACTAGTGAGGGCTAGATGTTATAGTAGTGATTGGTACCACTAAACCACCACTAATGAGGTGGAAAATCAAAAAAAAAAAAAAAAACAAAAAAACAAAGACATAGCAACATTGGGGCAGTGGGTGGGGCCCACTGCCACATCATTAGTGTCACCATTAATTAGTGGTCTCAAAGTATTTTTATAGATGTTATGATAGGATTGATCATAAATCCATATTGACATGCTTCTATTGTGATTAAAAAATAAAATAATAAATAAATAAATAAACTTCAGATAATTCATAGCTGCAGTTATGGCTTTCTAATTATATAAGTTTGTTTCCCTTCATTAATTAGACTAAAGTTTCACTATACACATTATAATCTTATAAAATTACATGGGTAAATTACACTTCGAACCCTGCAATTTATACCAAATTCGATTTTGGCCCTTCATTTTTCAATTATAACAGCCAGCACTTACACTTTCGATCAAGTTACATATTGCTCTTCTGTCACTTTCGATCAAGTTACATATCGCTCTTCTGTTAATTTGGTGTTAATAAAATTGACAGAACTTGTCATATAAGCAATACATGACCTTTTTCTTGCCTCTTTTGCATTCTACACTAAAATCTCATTTTTGATTCTTATATTTTCAACAAAATCTCACTTTATTCCACTTTGAATTTTTGCTAATCTCATCAGTAGTAGATGGACTGAAAGACGACACTATAACTTGACTAAAAGTATAATGGGTTAACTGATATAATCGAAAGTAGAAGGATTAAAGTAAAATTTTAATAAAAATAAAAGTGTGTCAAGTATAATTAACCCAAATTACATTTTCATAAAATTGCTATCAACAAGATGCGTACATCTTACAAAGAGGTTACAGGTTTTGTGGTAGTCCAAAAGATAACAAAACAACCCAATTTATTAGGGTAAACCCAAACAAGTCCTAACAATGGGCTCAATTCAAGTAAGGAAACCTATCAAGCTACTTCTATAAAAGGAAAGCATCCTATAGAAAAGAGGTATGCCTCATCTCTACAACTCACACACAAACACTTTACAATTTCTTCATCTATTCTCTTTGATTTAAGATGTTTAACTTTATTATCGGAGTGTCCTCTGTTTGCAACCTTGGTTGGGTAGCACCAACCATGTTTATCTTTGCAGATCTACGGGATAAAGCTCATCTCTTCATTTGATCTATTCAACAATCCATGTGAAAGAATTTTGTATGTGTCACAATTGGCATTGCCTGTGGGCAAAACCAAAAGAAATTCAATGAAGAAGACAACAAACACCACCGCTCAAATCATTGTTACACATTACTTCTGATTGCAGGTTTATTAATTTGGCATCTTTCCATCTTGGAAATAGTTTTGGATAACCTTATAAAAATAAAAAAAAGCTTTCAAACAACATAGTGTTGATTGATTATAATTGGGTATTGATTCTCTCTCTCTAAAAATATTTATATTGTTGCATAGTATTGTTTCCTATGAACTAACTTTTATCACCTACCTTCCCGTGGAGCACTCTAATGGATACAAAAAATTTGTCAACAATATATATATATATATATATATCTGTGTGAGTGATTTTCTGATCACACTGCCCGTTTAGTAATCAGCTAGAGAGCACCGGCAGAATAGATGGCTTCAGCTAACCTGTAACAGAAAGAAAAGGCTCCGGCGGTGGCTCTTCCACCCGGGGGCACTCCGACGATCAAGTCAGTATATCTCCCAAAGATATTCAAGTGCTAAACTCACTATTCAAAGCATAAAATTGCGTACCTTAGACCCACGGGGGGGCCTCTCTTTTATAGTTACCTTAATCCTAGTCTTACTAGAAGCCTGACTTCTATGGACTCCAACTCAGTACTTACTTTGGATTCCTCAAGAGATAAAGATAAACTCCCTAAGAGATTTATCCTCATCTTGAGCAAGTCTCCTCTTCATTCTAGGACTTCTTGTCCCTTATCCGTTTATCTCGGGTTCCGATATCTTCAGAGATAACCTCGGCCTTTCCGAGATTATCTCGGCATCGTGACCAGGACACGTGGCACCTCGGCTGACACGTCGGCGTCACTTTGCCATGTGTTGGTACTTAGAAAATATATCCCCACAACTGCCCCCTAGGTTCTATTACCTCGGCATTCTGAGGTGATGGAACCTATATCATTCCGTTTATCTAGTACATCGGTTTTCAGTATCTCAGCCGAGATCATTCATTTCAGGCCGACATGCTTTCCCTAAAAAATCAAGATTTTTAAGGACCTTCTCACGCGCATGAGCTGTCATGCACTTCAACTCAACCGTTTTAGCCACGCGTTTCCCTCTTACTGGTCCGTACACGTGACGCACTTGTTAGCCGCCTCTTTCTTCATATGCGCCGTCTGACGCCCTCGTTCTTCTAGGCGTATTGATTGCTTTTGCCGCCGTTTCTGTTTAATCAAAAACTTTTTCTCTTTTTTCCTTCTCTTCACTTTTTCATTCGAATCTCCTGCTATCTCTCTCTAGCTTTTTCTCTCTCTAAACTCTATCTTTCAAATCCGCCATTGCTCAAGCTCCAAGCTCTGCAATTGTCTTCCGTTCTTTCTTTCTGTGAAGCTTTCGCTTCTCCGTTACTCCTGCAACCTTTGTCTGACTTCAGCAATTTTCATACCGGCTTCACTCTTTTCTGGTAAGCTACTGTTCCTTTCGTTTTCAATACTGTTGATATTCTTCATTACTTGTGGCCTTTACTGCATCTGTTGAAACTTTTAATTTTTGTGATTCATACACCTGAATGTGTCGACTTCGCTTTATGCTTATGCTCTAAATACATGTACTGTTCATAGTTCTTCTTGCACGCCTTACCACTGTTCTTGGCCTTCAACCCTTTGTATTCTTCATGTTCTTGATAGTCCATCTCTGTTCTTGATTCTGAAACTTCGTATTTGTTTTCTATTTTTTGTGTCTTTGCCAGATCTGTACCTTTGATCGTCATCTTGATAGCTTTAGGTTTGGGATTTGTTTGTAGAACCCACATTTTTAGGGCAAAACTGAAACATTCCTTACAAATTTCTGTACCAGCCCAAACCTAGGTCTTTGCTGAGGTCCCATCAATAAGAAACATCTTTCTGAATTTCAACCCTTCTAATTCAAGCCGATATCATGGGTATGTGGAGACATAGGGTAGATACCCCGACCAAACTTGAGTACTTTAGGCAAGAGTTCTCCATTCCTGCCGATGTCCACCTGAGACTGGCTGGGGATGATGACTCCATCATGCCTATAGAAAACGCCATGCCCCCTCCCATTGTAGCTTTTACTGAGTGCGGACTCCGGCTCCCACTCAACGTCCTTTTTCGCGAGATTCTTCATTATTATAAGTTGAACCCCATCCAACTGGCAATCAACTCTTATCGAGTGATTTTTGGTATTATCGCCTTAGCCAAACAAGAAAACGTTAGGATCACCCTAGTCGACATACAGTATTGTTACACCATGTGTGCCCTTAACTTGAAAGAAAAAGGCTTCATTTATTATCTTAAGCTGAGGTCTTCAGAATTCAAAATCATAGCCGACCTCCCAGACTCCAACAAGGGGGCTGGAGATGACTATCTCATTACCTCGGAAAATTGGGAGTTTGCTCCAGACGAGGACATCCATCTCTACCCTTTTCCCCGATCAGTTTTAGAAGGCAAGGGTAAGAGCCCAGTATTTAGCTTTGCCTGTTTTCTTTCAAAGTCTTAAATACTTTGTCTATTTCCGACGTCTGTTCTCCTTGCAGCTGTTCGTCAGCTACCAAAAATTTTTTGCCAATCCTTTGTTCCTAGCAAGGATTTAAAGAAATTACTGGACCTGCCAGTTCAGAAGCGAAAGGCACCCCTACTTCTCAACTTCATCCTAACATGCAAATCAGCTCTCTCCGACGTCTCCAGGAAAAAGAAGAAAAAGAGCTTATCTCCTCCCTCTGCTACAACTCTTCCAGTTGCATCAACATTGCGAATAGACCAAGGATCAACCTCTGATCCAGGAGAACAGCCGTCGATCTCAGCTCCATACCTCATTCCACCGTCCCAAAAAAAGCGTCGCCGACGTCTTGTTCTTACAGCTGAGATGGGTCGCGCAAAGCCAGTTGCTGAAAACCTCCTAGCCAACATTCCATCATCCATTGACGAACAACCAACACAAACCCAACCTCCAACAAAACCAAAAAGAATTAAGAAAGCTCAAACGAAGGCAAAAGTGACTCAGGTTGAGACTGAGGACACTTTGCCAGCCCCAAAACAGGCTCCAAGTCAGAAAACTGCCTTTGTCCCTTCGAAGAGGTCTACCGAAGTACCTCCTTCCGAATCCTCCAAATCAAAAAGGCCGAGGTCATCTGCAACGACTTCGGGGTCAAAGAAACCAGATGCCCCCTGGGCCCCCGAAATCACCCTAGAGGATAAGCCCGTAATGGCAAGTGACAGCGCCGACGATATCAATGTCAGCGTTGCACTCAGTACCGCTCTACTTCTCCCAGGTGACCTGGAACGGAACGCCGAATATAGCGAGTATGAGAACTATGCCTTAATGTTGCAGCACTCTGTACAGGTAAACGTCTTCTACTTGGTAAATTTTTGTTTCTCTTTATTTCACACTTTGAATATTCTTTAATACCTCTGTTTTCTTTCAGGCCATCCAGCATGCCCACTCTTTCTCAATGCAGTCTTTTGAGAACAGAGAGAGGCTTGCCGAGATGAAGAGGGAGGTCTCCAGCCTCCAAAAGACCAACAAAGGCCTCCAGTCAAAAATGAAGGAGCTGGAAGACCAAGCTGAGGAAGCCATCAAGGCTCAAACCGAAGCCGACGAAAAGGCTAAGGCTGCTGAGGCCATTAGGAAAGTGGCCGAATCGCAAAGGAGAGAGGCCGAGGAAAAAATGGCCCAAACAGAAAAAGAGCTTCAGGAGGCCCTGGCCACCAAAGAAGCTGAAATCAAAGACGCTGACGAAAAGGCGTACTCACAGGGTATGGCCG